TACCTCACCCACACACGGCCCGACATCACCTTTGTCGTGGGGTACTTGAGCCGTTTCATGGAGACGCCGACCACGGCGCATCTGGCCGCCGTCAAGCACCTCCTTCGTTACATCGCTGGCACCCGCAGGTATGGGTGTAAGTACATCAAGGGCGGCGATGGTGGAGGGCTCGTGGGGTACAGCGACTCGGACATGGCCGGCGACATTGACGATCGCAAAAGCACATCCGGCAACATCTTCTTCCTCAGAGGAGCACCGATCACTTGGCAATCCCAGAAACAAAAGATCGTCGCGCTGTCTTCGTGTGAAGCCGAGTACGTGGCCGCAACGACGGCAGCTTGCCAGGGCATCTGGCTAAGTAGGCTCGAGGGAGAGCTACTTGTGGAGGAGGCCAGCGCCATCACCATCTTCGTCGACAACAGGTCGGCCATCCAGCTGTGCAAGAACCCCGTCTTCCACGACCGAAGCAAACACATCGACGTTCGTTTCCACTTCATTCGGGGGTGCGTGGAGGAGGGAAAGATCAGGGTCGAGCACATCGCTACCGGCGATCAGCTCGCGGACATTTTCACAAAGTCTCTTGGGCGCACGCGGTTCCTGGAGCTGCGCGCGCGTATTGGCATGGTCGAGGTTTAGGCTCTCTGTCACGACTAGCTTAGGGGGAGATTGTCAGCAAATAATCTAGCGTGACAGGCTACTAGGGCCGGGGTTTTCTGAAGTTTAGTAGGGCTGCAACTTCAGTGTTAGTTTTTTCAGTTTTGTCAGATAGCGATTTTCCCGTTGTTAGACAGCGCCTGAGGACGCGGCTTGTGCGATCCCAAGGCCTTAGCTCGCGGCATGAGCACGTCCATGGTAGTGGGATGGCACGACCCAGTAATGGGGGCTGTTGTTGATCCATATTTCCCGTTCTGCAAGTGAATAAGAAGAGAGAAGAAGAAAAGCAGCAAGCATTGCGCTGCACAAAAAAACTGAGTCTCATGTGAGTGCGTTCGCCATTGACAGAGCCCCGAGCTCGGTGATAACAACTGCCGCAGCTGCATCCGGGAACTTGCGCCGCCCGTCTCCCCCCTGCCCACGTCTGTGGTAGCCGCGGACGCACTGCACGCGGCGCAGGACCAAGTGGAGAAGATCATCCGGGAGTGCCAGGCAGCGGCAGCGTGCCGTGACACCACGCACTACTGCCGCCCGAAGTCCAAGGACAACGACTCCTGACTCCAATGGCGGCGATGACTCTGACTCCGACTCCCAGCAGCAGCAGTGCTCCCCAGTAGTCTCCGCCCGGCCGCCCCAGCAATCGCATTGCTGCCACCGGGCGTCGGCCCTTGACTCTGCTACGCCCAGGACTTGCAGCGCTTTCGAAGTTGGTAGCTGACTCGAGCACTATTGGGTAATTTCTTGGACAGATAGTTTAAGTGCAGGAAAAAAATGGAAGATGCATTTCATATGACACCTTGTATATGTTGATTTCTAAACTGATGTTGTATATGTCGATTTCTAAATTCACGCACTTGATCATTGATCTGATATTGAATTGAAAAAAGAACCGTGTGTAAGTATAGATCGAACTCTCAAATTGATGCAATTTTATGTCATTTTTATTTCATCTTGTAGAAACGAAGATGAAGATATTCTGTGATCGATGTCAGGAGCAGGAGTGTCAGGCACATGTGGGAGGCATTGATGAAGGCAACTATTAATTTGGTACTCTTTTATATCCATTTATTTGCTATATTTTATCTATTTGGTTCGATCGTTAAGCATTGAGTTTCAATTCTACATATATTGGTGAAATCGAGCAAAATTTTGTAAGATTTCACATGAGGTATTTCCTGGACAGTTATGGGATATTTTTTGGGATAGTTCTTTGGTTATACAATCTTTAAAATTTTAGGGTTCCATCGTATTTTGTCCCGGGCCCGCGAATTCCTGGAGACGGCCCTGATCACATAACAACGACTACAAACACTGAATCGAGTCAAAGACGTGCCGCCGTCATCGCCCCTCCCACAACGAAGCTGGACAAACCTTGTCTTGTTGTGATAGACAGTCGGGAAGTCGTCCCCCCAAGTTGTGGTAAACAGTCGGGAAGTCATCCCCCAAAATGCATATTTTGGCTAATTGAATGATGAAAATATGGTGGATACCATAGTTTCATTAAGCATCCCTCTTAGTAGTGCGGTTTTTCGATACTCAAATGAATTCAAAATTCTACGATTTTGGAGCATATCACTTTTCTCTCTTACACAATTAGGGGTCCACATATATCAATGCTTCAACCATTTGGACTAATCTACGTTGTGTATACCGAGGACACAAGATTGGTCAGCAATTCATATCGCCATCATCACCAAAACCCACTAAAGAAGAAAATTGCACTTTCAAAGGCGTCGAAGAGAGGATATTGAAGAGAGAGGGGAGGGCGGCGTCCTTTTATAGGCCGCCACATGCACCATTAAGGAGGTAGATGGGGAGGCGGCAGGCGGGAGGTGATGGACGGTCAAAGGGAGTGTCTCCTGGTGAGAAATGTTGGCATAGGTTACTCATATGCATCCTATTTGCTTAGACTGTCGCGATTGCTCAGATGGCGCCTCCCGGCCGGCTCACACGCAAGGCAGGAGATGATGCCGCATGAAGGGCATCCAACTGGCCGGGCACGAAAATCTGATGGAGTGGCACTAATGTTCGGGTTCCCATCGCCAGTGGTTCAGGCGCCCCGACCTTCGTCTCGCATACCACCGCCGGGCGAGGTGAAAACGACCGGGAGACAATCTCCTTCATTACTTTGGTCCGAGCATATGAGTGTCAAGGCAGCTCGGTTCACTTGTGTGAAAGAAAACAACCGAGAAAACAGAAAAATAAATAAACCACCGATGTGGCATGTACAATCAGTAGAGAAATTGGGAAAATAAAATAAAAAGAATAATTTGTGACACAAGTTCCGCCAAATGTAGTAAATTTTAAGAATTTTTTGCTAAATGGGGTCAAAGCTGTCACAAACGTGAAACTAGAGGGTAAAAAATAGAGATAACTCTTTGTAAATTTACCAATGTCCACAATTTGAGCACTGATGATACAGCGATGATTCGATACTGTGTTGTATGATAAGGTGATTAACTCAAACGCTAATGCTAAAGAACAAGTGAATTGCAAAAAACCACCACATTCTAAGTTTATTTTCGGATTTGCCACCACATTCCTTATGCGCTTCAAAAATCTACCGGTTTCCTTACTAATTTTCTCAATAAACACTGAAGATGGTTCAAGACAAATTAATCCAATTTCTGACATGCCGGGGCCGCTAGTCAGGTCCACACAGCACTAAAAGTCAACATAAATGAAGTTGACTGTTAAGTTAAAAGGAGGGGCCACCTGTCAGGGCCTAATCCACAAATCTCGTCCAGCTCCTCATCGCAGCCGAGCGCCACCACCTCGCGCATGGTCTGCCGACTCCCCCGGCCGGGCGCGCCGCCGGTGAGCCCGCCTCCGGCAGCCACGTCCCCTTTCCCCTTCTCCTTCTCTCTCCCTGTCGCCTCCTCCTTACACTGCGCCCGCTCGCCCAACGGTTGCCGAGCAGAGGCGGCCACGGCTCGGGAGCAGCGCTCGCCGCTGCGACAGATGGCCCCGCCATGGCCTGCTCTCGCCACCACACCGTAAGCCGCTGTGTCGGCCTTCTTAGGCCAGGGAAGACCGTGCCACTGCCCCCCTCGCTTCCTGCTTCTATGACGCGCGTGGATGGTGTTGGGCTAGCCATGGCCGAGGGGATGCGTGGCCGAAGCTTGGTGGCGTCCATGGTGTCGTTCTTCAGGGCAGGGAGCAGGGGCTCGGTAGGGTGTGGCCGGGACGAAGCTATGGCCTTGCTCAGCTCCAAGAACCGCCGCCGTTCGCTGCCGAGAACTGTCGGTCCTCTGCGCGCAAGCTGTTTGAAGAAATGCCATAGAAAGAAATATGGTAGCAAGCTCTAACGGATGGGTCCTACATCCAACTTGACGGTCAATGCTGTTTGTGTTGACTTTTAGTGCCACTTGGACCTGAGCACTGGGTCCAACATGTCAGGAATTGGTTTAATTTGTCCCAAATCGGTTATAAGTGTTTATTGGGAAAATTAGTAAGAAAACCGGTAGATTTTTGGAGCCCCCAAGGAATGTGGTGGCAAATCCAAAAGTGAACTTAGAATGTGGTGGTTTTTTGCAATTCACTCCTAAAGAACGCTATGCGGAGTCCATTAATAAGAGGTAATCACGAAATTCAAGTATCAGCACATCAACAATTGATGTCTCCAGAGAATTGATTCTTCCTGTGCATGAATTTGTCAGCTATGGGACAAGAGTGGCTAATGCAGTTTTTTGTTCTGTCATTTAATCAATAGCAAGCTTTCAGACTCAGATGATGAAGGACTATGAATCATCTTGACAACATGAACTACTAGTTAGCAACAATACTGTGCCGTGCGAATACAGGATCAACAGCTAATTATTCAACTCTGAAGACCTGAACTAATAATTGTCATCGACACAAACCTTCAGTAACCAACAGAGCCTCAAACCTTGGATCAGAGGACAATGAAGAAAAGGGACGAGGGAAGCAGAGAGAACGAACAGTTCCCGTTCCGTTTGCACTTGGGAAAGGGAAATCATCATTAGAAAAGAAAAGAGTCCGGTTTTACTTATAATCCGGACACAAGAATTTGTTGTTTTTACTTCTGTTCTTCCATGATCCGAAGGATTCCTTGTGTCATCATGTATTCTTATCCAGTTATCATCCAGAGGATAACGTAACGCGCTCTTTCTCTTCCTCGGTTCGGTTTCTGTTTCTTTCTTTTCTCCTACTCCAAGGCTGCGACGGCCCCGGCTTCCTCCTCAAGACAGCCACCGCCTCATGAATCATGACCGATCCCATATAAGTAGGCACGACCCCGCAACCCGCACCATAGAAACACGGGCAGCGACATCTTCTTCACGCACGCAAGTTTTCGATCAACCGATCTCAATTTTCGGGACCCGATGGAGGAGAACAAGGGAGCGGCGGCAGCGGCGGTGCCGGACAAGGAGGCGGCGCAGGCGCCAGCGTCGTCGTACTTCAAGAAGACGGTGGACGAGGGCGCGAGGTTGGTGGAGCTGGCCAAAGACCAGTACCGGCAGTTCACTGAGGTGCAGGCGAGAGAACAATGGGCGTGCATCAAGAACAAGGTCAGCTCCATGCTCGGCGAGCCCATCTTCGGCGGATCCAAGGGCGACTCCAGCAGCAGCACGCCGCCGTCCGTCGAGTCGCAGTAGATCATCATCGTCATCTAATAGCCTATTATAGTAATTTAAGTTGCGTCTTGTTTCTGAAAAAAAATTGTCCAAGTGGTGCTCAGAGAGAAATTTCAGCGTTATCAGTCTGCAGATATCATATATTTTTTGCAGATGTTTCACAAAAAAGTTTTAGAGTTGTGTGAATCTACGTTCTAAACTTTTGAATACTAGCAGGCGAGTCAAGTAGGAGTAGTAACTAAATCAAAATTGTACATTAGATGCCTTTTACTTGAGGCCGGCGGGCGACTGGCACAAAGTCAGATCGGTCCGACTCAGCACCGTAGGACTGGATTCACACGTACCGTTCGATCCCTATCCTCAGCCAATTTGCTCACACGCTTGAGATCGTACGCACAGGAAAAATATTCCCTGGCTTTCGTCACACACCAGCCGGCTGCCTTCTCGTCGCCTTGGTTGCAGATCCAGCAGCAAGCCGCCGTCCGTCAAGTGATCATCATCTTCAAAAAGGATTATCAAACCTACCATGGATTTTGTCGTTTGGAAATCTTAGCAGATTAAAATCACCACCTATCAAAATAGGATAGAGATTATCGTTTGCCAGATTAACCAACTCACGAAGAAAGTCGGCCTTGAATTCATCCGGGGCTGCACCATATATGGATTTCAATATGATACTCCCATCCGAACTAGCCAACACATCCATCGTCCCAGTATTCACACCAAGTAATATGCCACCAGAACGACCCCTAGGCGGACGTGAAATCCAAGTGAAGTTTATGCCGCCCGAAATACAGTTAAGAAGACTTACCAAGAAATCACATCTACCCGTTTCTGATATAGCCAAAAAATCTAGATCATGTTCCTTATTACAATCCACGATGAATAAATGTTTAGCCAAGTTGCCAAGATTTGTGCTATTATAGAACATGCCATTCATTATTGTTGCGAGATTTAGACGTATTGGTTCTCTTAGATGGCTTTTGACCCTTTTTCAAACGTGAGGCTTTAGATTTATGTCAGGATGTTGTAAGTTCATGCAATGAACTAAGCCCAGATTCATCCAAGCCCACGTCATGAGCACCATCTACTGTGGCATGCAGCTCCTCCTCATCTAGATGAGAGGGAATGGGTTTGTTAGAAATCAATGAAGTAACCTTTAATTGGTCATACTCCATATGTCTGAAAGCATTAGTTGAAACCGAAATTTCCTATTCATTACTACCTAGACTAACACCAACATTATTTTGGTTTGAAAGTAATTGTAGTAGCCGGCATATGGTTACTTGGATGACGAGATTATACATGTGTTGTTGATGTTATGCACCGCTATACGGCGCATTTGCCTTGGCCAAGGAATCCTCATCCATATCCATCCGTCCATTCTCAGCAACCGTATGCCGGTTACTACAGCGAGACAGAGTCATCTCCACTGAAGCATGCCGCATGTGCTAACTGTCGATGAAGGGGATGAAGTTGGTGTAGAAACCTGCTCCCCAACAACATCGGCAGAAGGCTTGAGTGAAGTTGTCGCAGAGGTCGGTGTAGACAGAGCAGGATCAAAGGTCGGTGTAGAGGGTGTTTTCTTGAGAGGAAAGCTCGCGGCTTGGAGCAGGGGATGTTGAGTATATATGTGTTGCATATATTATGTATATTGTGGCCCACCTCCTAGTTGTGTATAGTTGGGGTTGAGGCCTACCTGTACTTATATATGCGTGCACCGGCACCCAATCAATACAACGAATATTGCATTACCAAACTATCTCTCTACGTGGTATCATCATTCCTGTTCCTGCCCTAGAGCCCGCCGCCGCCGCCGCCGCGCCCCCTCGCGCGCGCCGCCTACTGTCTGCTATGCAACATTCTTCTTATAGACGTTGTTGGGCCTTCCAGTGCAGATGTTTGTAGGACAGTAGCAAATTTCCCTCAAGTGGATAACCTAAGGTTTATCAATCCGTGAGAGGCATAGTATGAAGATGGTCTCTCTCAAACAACCCTGCAACCAAATAACAAAGAGTCTCTTGTGTCCCCAACACACCCAATACAATGATAAATTGTATAGGTGCACTAGTTCAGCGAAGAGACGTTGATACAAGTGCAATATGGATGGTAGATATAGATTTTTGTAATCTGAAAATATAAAAACAATAAGGTAAATAATAACAAAAGTGAGCGAAAACGGTATTGCAATGCTTCAAAACATGGCCTACGGTTCATACTTTCGCTAGTGCAAGTTCTTTCAACAATGATAACAACATTAGATCATATAGAAATCCCTCAATGTGCAACAAAGAGTCACTACAAAGTCACTAATAGCGGAGAACAAATGAAGATACTATGGTAGGGTACGAAACCACCTCAAAGTTATTCTTTCTGATCAATCCATTGGGCTATTCCTATAAGTGTCACAAACAGCCCTAGAGTTCGTAATAAAATGACACCTTAAGACACGCGTCAACCAAAACCCTAATGTCACCACAAGTATCCGCGGGTATGATTATACGATATGCATCACACAATCTCAGATTCATCTATTCAAACCAACACAAAGAACTTCAAAGAGTGCCCCAAAGTTTCTACCGGAGAGTCAAGACGAAAATGTGTGCAAACCCCTACGCATAAGTTCACAAGGTCACTGAACCCGCAAGTTGATCACCAAAACGTACATCAAGTGGATCATGTGAATATCTCATTGTCACCACAGATAAGCGCATTCAAGACATACATCAAGTGTTCTAAAATCCTTAAAGACTCAATCCGATAAGAAAAACTCAATCCATTAAAAGAGGTAGAGGGGGAGAAACATCATAAGATTCAAATATAGTAGCAAAGCTCGCGATACATCAAGATCGCGCCAAATCAAGAACACAAGAGAAAGAGAGATCAAACACACAGCTACTGGAACATACCCTCACCCCCGAGGGTGAACTACTCCCTCCTCGTCATGGAGAGCGTCGGGATGATGAAGGTGGCCACCGGTGATGATTCCCCCCTCCGGCAGGGTGCCAGAACAGGGTCCCAATTAGTTTTTGGTGGCTACAAAGGCTTGCGGCGACGGAACTCCCAATCTTGGATCCGTTCTGGAAGTTTGGGGATATATAAGAGGTGTTGGCGTCAGGAACAAGTCAAGCGGGTCCACGAGGTAGCCACGAGGTAGAGGGGCGCGCCCAGGGGGTAGGGCGCGCCCTCCACCCTCGTGGTGGCCTCGGGACTCTTCTGGTCCATCTCCGATGCTCCGTGGGCTTCTTCTGGTCCAAAAATAATCTCCGTAAATTTTCAGGTCAATTAGACTCCGTTTGATATTCTTTTTCTGCGAAACTCAAAAACAAGGAAAAAACAGAAACTAGCACTTGCCTCTAGGTTAATAGGTTAGTCCCAAAAATCATATAAAATAACATATAAAACATCCAAAACAGATAATATAATAGCATGAAACAATAAAAAATTATAGATATGTTGGAGACGTATCACCGCCACTGCACCCTACCACAGTCGCGCCCTTCCACAGATGCACCGCCGCCGCCCCGCTTCCACCTCCGCCGCTACCCCGCTTCTGCCTCCGCCGCGCTGACCCGCCGCCGCCGCCCCGCTT